ATGTGGCACCTGGCTAATTCATAGGAACAGAACTAAAAAATGGTATAAACCATGAATGCAATAAAAGGTGGCATCCCTCTAATAAGGGTTTACCTAATAATTACCCTTCCCATGTGTCAGAAATATCAAAGATCAAGGAGTTATACAGGTTTCATAACTGCATTTTATTAAAATACATAAGACTGTGGTTTCTGCGTTTGTACCTTCTCTCTTATGATGGATAAAGAGAGATTTATCCTTGCTTCATGTCCCTGGACCCCCTCACCCTCTTTATCTACTTCTACACCACTTGTGGGGAGGTGTGTAGTTGGAATGGGGGTCACAAGGGCTCCAGCAAGACTAAAGAGATTCTGGCAAGTCAATGTACATAAGGGTATAGTCTATAGAATGATTGTTATGTCTGACGTAGAAGATATGATACACCTCCAGAGCATAACAATTACTTTGATGACTGTAAAATAGACTTCTCCCATTTCAACCCATTCCATAATATCATCAGCAGCTAATGCCTATCAATATGATTATATATGAGCATCTCTTCTGTCAAATCCAATTGTTTAGTATCAATAACATAAATGTCATATTCAACATCAGAAACCTGTTTTCCATCTAAATGATCTCATTTTACATGATATGATCTGTGAATGGTAAGTTCTGAATCTCCGACAAGACCAATTTGATATCAAATAATTAATTTTTAATTTTTCTTTTTATTATCATGTTTTTGATCTATATAGTTATACTAAGGCATATAATCTGATAATTAACTAAGTCATGCTTAGTAATGATCCAGGTCAATAACCTTTATTTCACATTCAGATAAACAATGTCATTTACATGTATGCAATGGATATCTATCAATCTACAATGTTTTGTCCAAACAGAACAGAGTGAAAACAATTAGCATGATGTTGCAGATAAACATCATTTTGTCATGGACAATGGACATACAGCTGACTGTCCGAAATCTGCCACATGAAATCATACCTGAAATTAAAAATTACCAATAGTGCAGGCTTACAAAACACTTTAAGGGGTCTTGTTGAAAATAATTATGTTTATTCACATTGATGGAATATACATGAGGGGTCATGACAATTGTTTTTCTTGTAATTTCTAAAACAAGTGGATAGGGTTTTTCTGATGGTTTTTCATTTCTTGATCAGTTTGAAAAATATAAAAACTTCACTGGCAGAAGTACATTGTGAATTAATCTAATAATTGTCATCCTTAAAAAAGTAAATCAAAGTGTTTTCAACTATGGAAATAAGGCCTAACCTTTGTCAAAAATCAGATTTCTTTTAATGATAAATGTACAAATCTCCTAAAATCTCATTAAAAAAGGACTTCCAGAGATTTCAAAGCTAAATAGCTAAGGCTCTGTGTCAACATGGTATTATTAACATGATAAATGTCACAACCTGGTACACAGTGGCTACATCAATGTCACCATTTCTCATAGGTACCATCATGGACTTTTCAAGATCAAGAGAGAAAGGCCATGGTCCTAGAAAAAAATTTTGCATACAAGACCCATTAAGTTATAATATAACTAATTGTTAATGCCTTATGGCATATTATACATAACAGAATATAAATTAATTATTGATAAGTAAAATTACTTCATGTGCCAAGATATGGCATTATGGGAAGGGTTACACTGGCATGGTAATACATGAGTGCAAAGATATGGCATTATGGGAAGGGTTACACTGGCATGGTAATACATGTGTGCAAAGATATGGCATTATGGGAAGGGCTACACTGGCGTGGTAATACATGAGTGCAAAGATATGGCATTATGGGAAGGGTTACACTGGCATGGTAATACATGTGTGCAAAGATATGGCATTATGGGAAGGGTTACACTGGCATGGTAATACATGTGTGCAAAGATATGGCATTATGGGAAGGGCTACACTGGCGTGGTAATACATGAGTGCAAAGATATGGCATTATGGGAAGGGTTACACTGGCATGGTAATACATATGTGCAGAGATATGGCATTATGGGAAGGGCTACACTGCCATGGTAATACATGTGTGCAAAGATATGGCATTATGGGAAGGGCTACACTAGTATCGTAATACATATGTGCAAAGATATGGCATTATGGGAAGGGCTACACTGGTATGGTTATACATGTGTGCAAAGATATGGCATTATGGGAAGGGTTACACTGGTATGGTTATACATGTGTGCAAAGATATGGCATTATGGGAAGGGTTACACTGGCATGGTAATACATATGTGCAGAGATATGGCATTATGGGAAGGGCTACACTGCCATGGTAATACATGTGTGCAAAGATATGGCATTATGGGAAGGGTTACACTGGCATGGTAATACACGTGTGCAAAGATATGGCATTATGGGAAGGGCCACACTGGAAAAGCTTCCAAATTTGTTGAGTTTTCTAGCAGAAATCGCCTAATCCCCCCTCCATCCCATTTGTACTATCACCGGGCGTCATGTTAAACAAGCTAAAATAGCTTCAGAATGTTTGATGTCATGTCTGTCCCGGGGTACCTACACATCCTTCACGGAAATAAAGATTGATCAAAATATGTTTGTTTTCAAATCTTCGGAGTTGATAGATGATTGAATGATGTATCACTGGTAAGAAAACCGAAGGGATTGGTCTATAAAAAGCATCTGTGTAAAAAATGTCATTACTAATTGATCACCCCTCGTATAAAACATAAGATCTTGAGACATCTTATAATTAAGTCTAAACAAATAGGAACAAAAAAACAAGATGACTAAATGAACATTTTCATAAAGACCTATATTCCTGTTAAACATATCAAGGTTGACAAATCTGTTAATGTGAAATATCGAGAATCTAGATTTGATGTGTCATATAGCTATTATATGTTATATTTGAACAACATACTAGAAATGCCATCAAATTTTTAGCCAGTATAATCATTCATTGCTTAACAACTGCTGGTCAAACAAACATAACAATTAATAGTTCATGCTTTTATCTCTCTGTAGTGTGTAACCATGGTAACTAGTCATTTATATATCTGAAATAATGTCCCCGGGGAAAGGATTATTTTACTTAATATTGCTACCTGTGAAATAAGAGAAGATCAGCTTCAAACACTTAAGGTAATTGATACCCGATGATAATAAAATGGACCAATGGCTGATATTTCATTAGGAGAAAAAGAATGAATGACAACAATTAGCTACTGTACTCATACATCATATACCCTTTCTAATAGTTTCATTTTGCTTATTTAAAAGAGAGCTTCGTCTACACATTTTGAATTAACAGTTTGGTGCATTATATATAATGGTGAATAAAAATTATGACATTCAAGGTAAACCTGACAAATGTGAACATTTCCTGGTGTTTGAATTAACAGTTTGGTACATTATATATAATGGTGAATAAAAATCATGACATTCAAGGTAAACCTGACAAATGTGAACATTTCCTGGTGTTTGAATTAACAGTTTGGTACATTATATATAATGGTGAATAAAAATTATGACATTCAAGGTAAACCTGACAAATCTGAACATTTCCTGGTGTTTGAATTAACAGTTTGGTACATTATATATAATGGTGAATAAAAATCATGACATTCAAGGTAAACCTGACAAATGTGAACATTTCCTGGTGTTTGAATTAACAGTTTGGTACATTATATATAATGGTGAATAAAAATCATGACATTCAAGGTAAACCTGACAAATGTGAACATTTCCTGGTGTTTGAATTAACAGTTTGGTACATTATATATAATGGTGAATAAAAATTATGACATTCAAGGTAAACCTGACAAATGTGAACATTTCCTGGAACACCTTTAAAGTGTTCATATTACAAGAAGTCCATATGAACAAGATTTTAACCAGCTTACACAGAAGTTAATAGATAGGAATAATACAAATCTGTTCATTTTATGAAGGTGATTACTTAGACAGGTTTACACATGCATTATAAAGTTACTTTGGTTTATTTTGGCACACATTTACCATATTATGATTTATTCAGTTATAGCTGTTGGTTAATCATGTTTTTATATATCCAGCCTTTTGATTTGAATATCTTTAACATTGCATGATGTCTCCGGTTTATTCATGTCTGTCAAGAAACTCCTGCAGGCTCAAATAAATAAAATAATATTTATATAATAAATAAGGAGGACTAAACTTTCAAAAGAATGATGTCCCACTTTATACAGGTCTGACAATACTTGAAACTTCCTCAAGTCTAAATAAATAAAACATTATGATCTGAAATAAGAATAAGAAAGGAATTTGAAAGTATACAGTATAACATTCCTTCTGAAATTCCTCAGTGGATTAAAATGCTCCCACATTCTCTTCAAAAATGTGATAGGAGCGGTGCTGCCATCTTTTGAACTCTGATTCTCTAAACACAAAAATATGTAAACCTAAAACTAAAATAGATGGCAGTACTTTATATACATGCTAGCGCCAGAGTTTGCAGAAATTGACCACATAATGAACTATAATGAAATATTTTCTTTTGAACATTTCGGGTACTCTTGCAGTTTTGAGCCACTTTTCTGGTACTCTTACTTACCATATTCCTGTGCTCCCATGCATGTGAAAATCTTTGTTAACATTGACTTGAATTATTTGGTTAGGTTAGCAAATCTAGCAATGCCTTTTTGAATCGTCTTACTCGAATACTTATACATTATTATATCACTGTCATATTCCTCACTCTCTGATTGGTTCATGTCCTGTCCTACATGTGACTAAAATAACAAGCGATATTCACCAGTGAGTGAGGAATATAACTGAATAATAAAACAAATGTTTAATTCTATTTTCGGTGAATACCTACAACACTATCACAAGATGATATACCCACTAGTTTGGGCTTTGTGGAATATCACTTGTGAAAGATGCACAGGTGTTCACCTTAATAGAATTAAATATTTGTATAATATCACATGATCAGCAGATACAACTTATGTTCGTTAAATATGGTACGTAAAATATTCTCACCTAACGATGGGTCTAATAATGGATCATTGTTGTGGTGTATGCTAGATACATTTCCAAGACATGCCCTGGCCTGGGCAATACGTTTCTCCGACAGTCGTCTCATGGGGACTGGTTTTGCGAGAAGGTGTTGTGCAGCCATGCTGGCACCCATACCGTGTAGGCTAAGATCTTTAGGGTCTTCTGGGCTTCCTAAAACAAACAACTGGTTTATCAATTGAAGTACAAGAACATCAAACTGAACATGGTTATAGATATGAACAATATAAAGTATAAAAGTGGTGAAATAATATATAAAGAAACACATGTATTATAGACTATTATGAATACTTACTGCATCTTTGTTCACACTTAGATTTTACTGCATACAATGAACTGATATACATTATCATATATGAACTATTAAATCAATCATTCCAAAGGAAAAAACTTCCTTGCTTTTATAATTAATACACATACAGTAAATTCATAACATAGGCCTGGAAATCTAGTAATGTTAATTCAATACATATCAAAAAACAATTAGCATTAATAGCCTGATCTATGGATCAACAGGCTATAATCATACATGATTTGATCTAAAGTTACTATTAACCTTTCCAAACAATTAACGACTATAATACAACAGCCTGAGAACTATGCAATACTAATATGCTGTTTTCCAATTGAGGCACAATCATCCTCTCCTAATACAGTGAGACATGTAAAGTGGAACACCTCAAGAAGTACAACCCCTCTACATGGAACACCTCCCAAGACCAACTTACTTAATGTTAAATGAACCTCTATAAGAAGAACACCTCCCAAAATGCAACACTTTTTAAAGGTACCAAAAATGTTCAACTGAGACATGTATTTTCATATTTTAAATGGGGAAATTGGAAATAAACATGAGTGAGTCCCCGGATACAGTGAGATTTTAAAGACTCACACGCAAGCATCAGACAAGACATTCATACCATTTTCACATTGTCAAAGATAAGCTCTTTTCTGTATTTAATGTTCATTATACATCAAAGACACCTGTGATGTAAGCTCAGGGATGTGAATTTTTCTCAGTGTCTACAGCAGTTGTTTTCAAGAAAATGTGCATCTAGGCTTTTAAGTCTTTGTGGCTCCAATATTGGCAGTGTAGACCAAGCATGCGAAAAGGGCTTTAGTAATACTTGTTGAACTACAGAAATTATATATATAAATATTCATATCTGGATTTTCAGGTGAAGCCTAAACAAGTGGGAGATAGTCTTGCTTCAGGACTGTGAGCCCACTTATCTACTTCACAAACATAACAGTTGGAGGGGGGGGGGGCTTTGAAGGGCTTGTAGCTAGACTAAGGGGAGGCATCAAAAGTTTGATGTCGGATAGAAAACTAAATAAATCTAGTTAGGGGGGGAGGGGGTTCAAACCTATTTCAGTTTGCTATCCGACAAATTTCAACATTTCAAATTTTTGACAATTTTGACTCAGAATACCATGGAATGGTTTAAAAATAAAGATTTTACCTGATGCTTTCTTTGTCAAGATCATTCCAAAGGATTCTATTCTATGAATAGTTGTAAAAAGCCGCAAATTACGATAGGAATTAACGAAAACTTGATCGTGTTTAGCAATAATTTTTCAAATTCTCAAACCGGAAGTCAGCGATCAACTTTCATGGTATTTAGTTTTTGGGGGGAGGGGGGGGGGGGTTCAGAGTCAAAACTAGATTTATTTAGTTTTCAATCCGACATTGAACTTTTGATGCCTCCCCTAAGTGGGAGATTGTAACAATAAAACCATTATTTTCATTTAACTTCTCTCAAGGCCTCTTACATAAAGGTTCTGTGTCCCATATGATCTCTTTAATTCACTATATTTGGAAATGCAAATAGGGATAGGGCAACCAGAAACTTCATCCAAAAGTCTTCGATCAATTATAACAACAAGAGGTGCATTACCTGGTGGAGTGGGTGGCATTGGCAGTTTCCCTTCTGCCTTCATTGCTGCATACACAGCAGGATCTGTAATCCCATAGGCCCCTGCACTACCAGCGGCTGCCATCAGAGCACTGGGGGGTAGCATGGAGCCATAATCTTGACTGGTTGATGATGTCATTTGTTGTTGGTCTATTGCCATTCCATGTTGTCCTGTGTCCATTTGACCCCCATACTGGTCCTGATAGAAGCCGGGTCCTGCCCCTGAAGGTGGTTTACTTTCTGCACTATCTGAAACATAGAAAGATACCAAATATAAAAAATATGTAATATAAATGTGATATCGAACATCTATTCTAATTAAAAGTAATTCTCAACTATATTATTTGGGTATTGATATTATTTTAAATAAATACAATTTTAAACGATAATATGTCTTCCGTCCACTTTACTAAACAAACATCAGAGCGAAAAATAACATATGACACTATCACATGTAATTTTCGAGGCAAAATAACATAATTTTGCAATAAGTTATAATACATAGAGCTATTCATATTTAAGGCCATTTAACTGCTTAATGCTAGACTGGTATTTTTAAATAAAAGATCCAAAAATCAAAAGACAAATTCTGACTAATAATTTTGGGCTAAATATGACCTTATCTACAACAATAGTGAAAACACTTTGAAATGAAAATACATCTTCGAAATGGTACCTCCACATTCCTTAAAAATAACTACAAGACATTTAAATAGATGGCAGCATGAAAATATTTTTCTACAGGGTGAAGCCAAATATATGTATCATATAAGCTAGTATACACGCAAATAGAAGAAAATTGTAATCAAGATCTCATGATTTGCTCTGCTATGTTTTAAGAATTTTCATAAAAATAGAAGTTTTTCAAAAGAAAAGTTTTATTCCTTCTTGAATATACATATACCACCAAGAAACTGTATTAAGTTTTGATTTTTTGCTCAAATTTCCTTCCTGACATTCCTATCAGTCAAATATACAACTAATTTTCCTGGTTTAAATACATGAAGTGATATACATGTACTTTACGTCACAAATGTTAAACCTATTAGATAATACATCCATTTGTGAATCCCAGTGAGGGTACCAATATAACAAATGAACCTTGGTGATGAGGGACAGGGGTCAGTTTAGGGTCTTTGATAAACTGCCAATATCAAGTAAGGTCTCAGACTGCCTGGTTTATTCACAATTTCTGTTCCAGCTTCCAAGATACATGCCATTTTATGTTATACTGTGCCAAGTTCCACAAGAAGACGACAAAGTATAACCAATATTGATTCTTCTATGGAGAACTCCAAACTTGAACAACAATAATCTGGTTTCTGTCTACAGATAAAATACCATGATGATCAACTAGAATTATAGTGGGTTAAAGTGGTAAATAGTTAAGAAAAACAAATAATTAAGGCACATGATATTCTAAATGAAAGAATCAATGATATAGCTCTTTGTTCTGAATTTAGGGGATTCGTGTAAAAAGGGTTTGGAAAAGCATAAATAGGAAACTCTAATCCAGGGTGGTGAAGTCAGACACAATATGTAGAGAATATGAACCTATTCGTTGGTTGACCATTTAAATTTAACATTTAACATTAATGCAATCAGACACTGTATTATGTTGTTAAGGGTGAACCGGTTAAGCCACAAAGTACAATTAAATATATAATCTGAATGAAAAGGCAATGACTGAACTTTATTTTGAACTTGTTTATATATTGTATTTTGTACTTTCAGTTCTCAAGTCCATTTTATTCATACTAACCCAAACCCTCTTGCTTCTTTGTCATATGGAACTATATTGTAACAGCTACATGGTAAGAAAAAACTACACTATAACAGTTAAATGCAAGTATAGCAGTATACCTATGATATCATATTAGAACAGGTAATTGGTAAAATGATATTGTATTAGTTTATAGTAACAGTTCAAAGACAGGATGGTACAATATTATAGCATCTAAACAGTAGAAGACATATTGTAAAAGCTGAATGGTAGATTCATGTAATAATATTTTAAAATGAATCCAATAATAAAGAAGATATTCAACAGATTACTGGTTAATATTTCCCAAGATGATATCTTCCTTTTTATATCAGGAATGATTCAATACTATCTCATCTTGTCTTTTAACTCTTACAGCCCATTTCACTTAGGTTATGTATCATTAAAACCTAAAAAAATAACCAATCAAAAAGACAACAGTGCAGTATCAAATGGAAAAACTTCAAACTTCTCCAGAAGTGTGTGAGTGTTAGCAGCAATTATCAAACCTTCTATGCTTAAATTATTCACCAATTTGCTTCATCAAATAGATCATTCTTTGTAAATAAAATATTGTTACTTAACCTTGCGACTTATAATGTTAAACAAAGTCACCTTTTGTAAATTTTCTTTTAACTTATATTATTGTATTGAATAAAACATGATAAATAAAAATAAAAATAAAAAATGGAAAAATACATTCATATTTTATCTAAAAGACATTTGTATATTTCAAATAAAGTAGTTTTACATGCAATAAACCTGTGGCCGCACGTAACTTACAAGTTACAGCCATGTTAATTTTTTGAAAAGGACATGTCAGATAAGCATCAAAATACAAAAGAACACACATTTATAGCCAAACCAAAACCAATCTAAGATATGCAATGTTTAATAATTTTTATGTAAAAAATAAATGTATTTTTCTATATGATACTGCACTGTGGTCTTTTGTTCGCATATTTATCAGATTTTATTGGTGCAAAACAAATGTGAAATGGACCGTATCAGCTTTCCCAAAAAATCACTGTGATACTTTTGCACTTGAAACCGCCACAAATACAGCGAAAGTAATAATATCAGTGGCCAAAGGCCAAGTCGGCAATCTAGCCAATAGTTACATAAGACAAACTAAGCTCTACATTGAGTTCATGTGTTATAATTAGAGTCAGACATCAGGGATGACTAGCTCAGTAATCATTTCTACTAAATGGTCATATGGTCTTTTATATTGCACATCCCTATTAGTTTTACTTTGTAAAAATGTAATAATACTATAGCATAATGACATTCAAAATCCATTTACTCAAACATACACCTCAACTGACCTCTAATTAAGAGAAATGCGTGTCAAATAAGCACAACATTAATTTATTTAGGTTCAATATGTAATTGTTATAATATAAATAATAAGCGTAACTGTAACATATGTAAACATCACCTCCAGTCTCGACCTCTTGTTCAACCCAGTGTTATATAATCTACCAGTCCAGTAGGTAAGTATGACAAACAATACCTGGGGAGTTATGATTCCTCCTCACTATGTTACGCTTTCTTATCCTGTCGACTAGCAAAGTTACAAGTAAATCCTATGATGGTTGTAACTCAGGTTATGCCAGATTATGGGGGTCACTCATACATTACCCAGAGTTACAGGATAGGTGATATATGTAGCCAGTGATTACAGACTGAAATACACACTTTATATCACTGCTTATCAACAGTTATATTTCTGTTACAGAGAGTTATGAATAGTTCCCAAGTTCCCCTATATTAAGTTGACGCATTATATAAAACAAAGCAACTACTTTGTAAATACTCTTATGCTCAGTTAGTGTATATATTTGAGTAAATTGCTGTAATCGGGAGAATAACTCACTTTGCTTATATAATTGAACCTCCTTTACTCCTAAACTATCCATAGCTCGGAGTTAGAAACCAACAAGACAAGGTTCTCTTTTATGAAGCGAAGTCAAATGATTGCTTACCCCGCACACAGAGTCTAGTTATAAACTACCCTCTCCCTAGTATCGACTGTATTACAGTTTAGCAGCCCCCAAAGATTGGTGCCTGTGAGAGCCCGGGTAATAAATCATTTCAAATAATCTACCACGCTGACCCTTCCTCAACCAATCAACGAATTGGAAGGAACACATGCTAAATATGTGCCCATTAACTATGCGCTGATGTCAGAGGAAATGACAATATAGAAAGTCATCCGTATTTCGGCCAAAAACTCTGATTTGCTCGTTGAGATCAGAGATTTATTGTAAACTGAGAGTGAAGACGAAGCTCTCTTTTAAGAAATGAAGTCCATTGAATGCAAAGGGTAATGATTGCTAGAGGTGACATGCACATGCATTGTCATTGTATATATGAAATGCTCTGTTTAGGTTTAAAAGATGATTGTCAAAAAGGTTATTTTGAATTTTGAAGGATTGTAATAATATAATATCCATTTAACAGGAATAGATAATTCTATAGCATCAAAATTATGAATATAAAAGATGTATGATTTACAAATATATCCTGTTTTAAGATGTTAAATCTAAGAAAACCATTTAGAAATATATTTGCAATGCTTTCAAAAATATGAAGGATGCCTCAAATTGTGCATGTATTGCGTAATAGTCATGTTAAGTGTCAGTGAAACTTAATTACAAGTCACCTTATACTATACATACATATTGTATTTTGAGTTTAGTAGTATAATTGATTAGATTTATTTTCGTACAAACTATGTCATTGAATGACATTTCTCAAAAGGATTTATAAAGATATGCAGACTGCTTACTTAAACATGCAATGTACCTTGAAATAATTTAACCATATCAATGTTGAATTCAATACCAAACCGCCAAAACTTTAAACTACAAAACCAGGTCACAGTCAAATGATCTTGATGCAATAACAGTGAAACTCATTTCAACATTTGTCATCCATTTCTAAACATTTGAGAATTTAATTGCATTTCTCCCTGGTGAGCTTACAGTTATTGGTGAAAATCTTGCATAAGAAATTTGAAAGAGCTTTAAAAGTACCCAGTTGGAAAGACCATTCAATGGGTGCTATTATTAAATTAATGGGGATGAAAAGATTTGTCTGGAAGGGCAAGCGTAAAGCTAAAGGAGCCTGTCATTCCAAAAGGCAGTTAAATTGAAAGGAACTGGGAGGTATAATAGGTGATAATGATATGTACTATGAGCCATTATTTTCTACAATTACAAAGGCTTACAGAGGGTTGTCAGCAATGTCCATAACATATTCAGAGGCACATTCAACGCTCTATGTTTATAGCCTGAAGAACCCTTTCAGATTTCTTACCACTGCCCTATTCCAATCTTGTTCCATTAGAACATTAGAAACTGTGACAGATTATGTTATATACAGATGTGGTTGGAAATCTGTTCCAAGATATTCTGTCTTGAACAATAGTTCAAACTTGTCCCTTGAAGGTTTGTGACATTTTATTTACTTGATCAATGTA